AGCTTAATTGATTTATGTTTTCTGTTTAGGCATTGGGTTTGAATTGGTATCCGTTTTGGTTTTAGGGTTTTTTTCTTTTCAAAATTGTGCATTTTGTTGATTTTCCCTCTTCCCTTCTTTAGTGGTTCATATGTTGGGAAACTCTTCTCTGCTTCCATAGCTGAAACTCCTTGCTTCACTTCGGGTCTGTTTTTTTGAGAGATCAATGCTTAAACCATAGCCCTTTATGCTAAATTCATTTCAAAGCTGACAAAGAAAATGAGGAAAACTATCAATGTTCACTCCACAAGGGTTTTTGGTGACCGAAGGTGGAAAGTTCCATTCTTTCTGAGCTTGCTTTTATCCCTAACACTGTTTATGGCAACTATTTTTGGGCTGTATGTTTCGTCATATGGAAAGGAACCGGTGGAACTTGATGGTACATCTCTCAGTGAGTTAGAAGACTCTGGTGAGTACTTCGTTGACTCAGAGCTGAGGTCATCAATGATGAATGTGAGCCCGAAAACCGAACCGCCTAGGTTTGCTTATCTCATATCGGGTACAAAGGGCGACAGTCAAAGGTTGTTGAGGACTTTGAGGGCTGTTTATCACCCGAGAAATCGTTACATACTGCATATGGACCTCGAGGCCCCACCTCGCGAAAGGTTGAACTTGACAATGTCAGTGAAGAGCGATCCGACTTTCCATCAAGTGAAGAATGTCCGAGTGATGGAACAGTCTAATTTAGTGACTTACAAAGGACCTACGATGATTGCCACTACCCTACAAGCTATAGCCATTATGCTGAAAGAAAGTTTGGATTGGGATTGGTTTATAAATCTTAGTGCTTCTGATTACCCTCTCATGACACAAGACGGTTAGTATCTCAAGCTTAATGTACTATGTTTCTGCTTAAATATCTCGATGTGGGTTTTTAATTGTTGTTTATCACCATTTAGCGCGTCTACTTTTTTATATCATTTTGGGGAAATCCTTTATGCATTGCATAATGCTTCCACCTCATTGTGTGGTTGGGCGATATGATTGATTGATGCATCTATGTTAAGGTTAATTACTTAAGTTACTTCTGCTCTTTGGGTCCGTTTGAAACCAGAAAATACCAAGAAAATAAAGAAAACTTGATAGAGCAAAATTTTAGGATAAAAAAAAGATTTGCTCAAATCCAATATACTCTGTAGTTATTCACATTATATAAAAAGTAAGAAGTCTAAATTTATGCAAAATTTTAAAATACATCAGTTGTGTTCTCTTTTTGGCTCTATTTTCTGATTATATATTTAAACTTATCGTATTTAAAGAAATATTTCAAATGTATAGACTAATCTTTATATATGTAAGGATTTTTTAAAATGTCTACATTCATATTTTGCAAGATAAAGCCAAACCAAAAACAAAATAACCCACTATAGTCCCAACTTTGTTGGGGTTTGGAGGTCAAGATTACTTGTGAACAAACAGAGGCTATTTCTACTAGACCCCTGAAGAATTACTTCATTTACTTCTAAAAACTTTTTAGTAAGTAAATATGCCATTTTGATTTAGTTCATTGGTTACCTAAAGCTAAACCATTGTCAATAGCGACTCTTTTAGCTCCATTGGCCATGAGTGCTATATTCCAAGCTAAAACCAAACATAAAAATACCATTTTTTTAATGTTTCTTTTCCACCCCTACCATTTTCTGTGTTCCAAACATAGATTTTTAAGTTCAGGTCGATTTCAAACATATATTCATTGCAGAACTTGCTATCTGAGCCGTTTGAAAAAGATATTTAGTACTCCATAAGCTCACGGTTTGTAAGCAGTACAGATGGAATACAACCAGAAAATGGAGATGCTGCATTTATTTGATTTGGATGAGGATAAAGCTGTATACCGAAAAGATTATTTAAACCAGAATTAATGCTGTCAGGATACTGTGCTTGAATGATGATTTACATTAGCTTTTGCCTTCTTTGTCTGTTTACTGGTTTCTTCGTCTGTACTTGTGTTTTTGAGCCGAGGGTCTCTTGGAAACCGCCTCTCTGCTACCTAGTAGGGGTAAGGTCTGCGTACGCAAACCCTCTCTATACCTTACTTTTTTGGGGTTTTTGCTGGGTTTTTTTGTTGTTGTAGTATATTGTTAACAACGGGCAAACTACATAGTGTGGTTTTGTTGTAAAAATGCTGAAAAAGAGTGCTGATTATTGCAGATATCCTTCATGTTTTCTCCAATTTGTCCAGAAATTTGAATTTCATTGAACACATGCAGCTGTATGGGTGGAAACTGTAAGTCCTTCAATGTGAATTGTTGATGCATGGATATACCTTCTAATATTTTTAGGACATCCATATATAATTGTACTATTTCATTACATATGTGAGAAAGTCCTTGATTCTTATATGCACCTTAAGTGCATATAAGAATTTACCATTATTATTATTATTATTGTTATTATGTTTTCTGGTTTTCCCTGTCCATTCATGACATTGTAAATTATATTAATGGATTGCAGGAATCAGAGAGCAAAACCCATAATTGTTGATCCTGGTCTTTATCTATCCAAGAAATCTGATCTCGCTTTTACTTCTCAACGCCGATCACTTCCAACATCTTTTAAGCTGTTTACAGGTATGCCATGACTTCTCAATAAGCTTCTTTTAGTAGCTTTTCAAGTAAGTTCCCCCAGCTTTCATTATCAACTCCTTTAGAATCCAATGTAAAACATGGTCACTTCCACCATATCCTCAACAATTACCAAACTTTAAATCAGCTTTTTGACCATGGTCAAACAGCTAATTCATTATTGAATAAGAAAAAAAAGCTCTTTCACCAAACATGGGGTCCGCATACAGGGTCAGCGTGGGTAATACTGACGCGGTCGTTCTTGGAGTACTGCATATGGGGATGGGACAACCTCCCGCGGACACTTCTCATGTACTACACCAATTTCATATCTTCGCCCGAAGGCTACTTCCACACCATCATCTGCAACAGTGGCGAGTTTCGCGACACCGCGATTGGTCACGACCTGCACTACATTGCTTGGGACTACCCTCCCAAACAGCACCCCATCTCCCTAACCCTCAAGGACTTCAATGCCATGGTCAACAGCAGTGCCGCGTTTGCCAGAAAGTTCCGGAAGGATGACCCGGTTCTGGACCGGATTGACCGCGAGCTGTTGGGCCGCGGCGGTGCGAACCGGTTCGTGCCAGGGGGCTGGTGCGTTGGGAGTGCGGATGGTGGTGATCCTTGTTTGGTGGTTGGTGATGATTCGGTTTTCAGGCCGGGTCCCGGCGCGAAGAGGCTGGAGAGCCTGATGCAGAGGCTGATGTCACAAGATTTTCGTAGCAAACAATGTTTGGCTAAGAACTGAGAGAGAACATAATTTGTACATTGCTGTAAAACCATATAGGTCAATAGTAAGGTGAAATGGTCCATTAGCTGCTCATTTTGTAATACAAACATGGGTAGATGTAATAGATTTGGAAGTTTGCCAAGTGGCAATTTTTTTAACTATATACTAATGTAGTAGGATTAGTACCAAAAAAACTTCATTTATTTTCTCTTTAGGATGTTTCAAAAAAAAGTTTCTATATACATTATTCTTTTTAAGTAATGAATATATAATTTTCATTATTTCACCTCCTTTGATCATTTTTTTGGTATTTACAACTTTGTAGGAGTAGTGTTTTTTTTTTCTCTTCAAGGTTTGTTTGTGCAATTGTAGGACAAAGCTCATAATAGATCATTTAACTTATGAAAGAATAAATGAACCAAATAGAATGTGAATAATTTACACGGTTTACTAACTAGAAATTGGAAAATGATTTCAAGGAAAATAACTTATTTTCTAGAAATCATTCTCTTAATTTCCTAAATGCCTCAATTCGGACTATCTAAACCAACTATGTCGTACTAATTACATTGCCGATAAACAAAACTTTTCTTGTTGTTGCAATCTCAACTGTATCAAATTACACTTTAAACTCCTCTCTTCAATCTGTCATCGTAAAAAACACAAGTTATTAACATAATTGAATTGAAGACTTTATGAACTCATTATTCTAAATTTTGTCTTAAATATTCCATTATGAAAAATCTAATATTTTAGGATGCACAAAGACTTACCTCTAATCTAGAAGTGCTCTTGAAAAGCTCCAAACACTCTTCCAGTAATAGCTTCTCTTGTGTTACAACCTCTGCTAATTCTTTCATTACTTCAGCTGTCTGATTCGCCTAATAATCAAACAAAACCATGTTTCTTTTAGAATCAAAATAGTTAACAAACAATTCAAGAGGTGAAATCATTCGCCCAGAAGTGGGCCCACTAAAGACAAGTGCCGCCCACTCCGCCACGGAACGAGTATAAAGATTGTCAATATCATTGGTTCTAAGCACCGAACCGCATACTAATTATAAAATAATCAATATTATAATCAAGTGGGAGATTTGATTATAAAGTGATATGTAGCTTACCCCTGGTGAGAATGCAGACAACGTCCATTCGATTGATGCAGCAAGATTTGAGGCATCTTGAAGAACAATTGAGGTTGATTCTAGGTCCACCTGCATCATTTCCATCATATTTGTTAATTAATCACAATATTTAGTCCTTTTTTTCTTTTTTAAAATATTAGTCAAATATTAACACATTATATTTGTAGTGTATATAATAATAATTTTTTTTAGTTATAATGAATATTACCTTTGCCCCATGAATGATGGGTACATTGCACAGAGCCGAGGTTAATGACTCTTTAGTCATGCAGATGGATGATATGTGTTGTGTTTCCATTTCACCCCATTCTTCAAGCTGTTTCATCTGAAAAATTCACCCAAACCACAAAATTAACAAACAAACAAAAATTGTACAAAAATTAATGCAGAACAAAAAAAATGTTAAAAAAATTGTGTGGAGATCAATCTATTAATGACTCACTTGAGAATGAAGTAGAAAAGTGAGTTTCATGTCCAATTTCTCCTTCTGCAATTGCAACTTCTTTTGGATAACTGAATGTCTTAATTTAGCTATGCCTTCCTCTGCACATATCAACTTTCTCTGCAAAAATCCCACAATTTCATTTCGTCAAAAAGTCATAATACTAAACAAAACCCGAATTTACATTTAAATTTTAATTGAAAATTGCTAAATTTTACTGAAAATAGTTAGTCCATCCATCCTGAAATTATCTTTCTTTTTTGGTTTACGATGTTTGAGTGTAGTTGTTTTGCATTAAATTTATTTAATTATTGGTGCAAAAACTTAAAAATAAAATTTTATATAATTAAAAATTACATAAAAAATTCTACAACAAAACGATTTTTTTTAAATATACCATTTAATGAAAATATGAAAATATGAAAATAAAGAAAAAAAATAATCACTCCATCCTAATTTTGATTACAATTTTATTATCTCTCTCCTCTTGATAACTTTAATTTATTTGTGTATTTTCATTGATTATTATTTAATAAAATAAAATACTTTTATCATCTCTTGTTTTGTAAAAATTTTAACATACTTTTTTAATGTGTAATTTTTAATTTTTAATTGATGTTGTAAAGAAATAGAGAAGCAAAATGCAAAACTAACCTGAGCCTCTTTGTTAATCTTCTCATTAACGGCGTCAGATTTGCCGTTAACGTATCTCCACTGCATCAACCGGTTATGCAGCATTCTCAGGCGATGAATATTCTCCGCCTCCGCCGACGAAGAAGACGCCGCCGCCGCAGCCTTATTAGAAGAAGAAGAAGACGACGACGATTTCTTGACCTTTAGCAATTCCAGCCCCATACTAAAGAAACTCCCAACTCCTTTCACTCTTGAAGGGTTGGTCGGCGGCATTGAACCCTGAAATCCTAACAGTTTTCCTCTGATCTCCGGCGTGATCGCCGCCGAGTTTGATCTCCGGAGAGTCGGAGACGCCGGTTTAACGGAACTTGACCTTTTCAAAGCACCCGACTTTTTGGGAGAATTCTCCACTCTGTTTTTCTGGGCGCCGGAATCCGCGCTCCATCTCCGGGATCTCGACGGCGGGTCTTGCAAGTACTTCGACGAGACTTCGATTCCGGCGGATTTTTTCGAACTGACGGTGGGCGCCATGTACGACGGCGTGAAGTTGCTGTTCTTCCCGACCACCGCGGGGGAGGTGAAGCTGTTGCTGGATAGAACCTCGCTGTCCTCCGACTCCAAATCGGATAAAAAATCCGACCTTTTTCTGTAATCGGAGTAATCTTCAAGCAAGTTGGAGAAGTTCGAGGAGGAGGAAGACGACGACGACGGAGATGTGGAAGATCTCGCCGGCGTCGCGAATTTCCCGGTGTACCGCACCGACCCACCGAACAGCGGCCTCTGATTTTCCTTCGCCGCAGCAGCGCCTTCTCCGGCGAACCTGCTAAACTCCAAGCAACTCATCTGCCGGCTAAGAACCGCCGGATAATTACTCCCATCATCCTCCTCCTCTTCCCGTCGACCGACCGAATCCCTAACCTTCAAGCTCGAATTTTGCGACGCCGTGAAAGACGACGGCCAGAGCTTCTTCATGAACCCAGATTTCTCCATCCCCTTCGACGATCTGGGCATCTGCTTCAACGGGGAAAGAATCTGATTCTGACACGGCATTGGGTTAACCTGACTGCAATTCCCGCCGGAAGTAGAATTACACCCCGCCGGCGACCGGAATCTTGAACTGACTTCCCTGGTTTTCGGCTTCCTAGGCTTGAAAGACTTGTCAAACTCCATTGTTAAGCAGAAGCAGTTACCAATTACTGAAAATAAAGAAATAAAAAAACAGAGGAAAAGGGGGTTTTGAAATGGAGAGGAACTGATCAGAGAAGGAGGTGGGGGAGAGAGGAGAAACAGAACAACTGAATACTTGGCGGCAGAATAGACGAAAAAACCGGCTGGTTTTGTCAGTTTACGAAAATGCCCTGGGTAGTGCGCTGGAGGGAGGAGGGCAATCTGGGAAAAGGGGAGGGTGTTATGGAGGAGGAATTATTTGAATTAATGAGATTAAAAGATTGGTCGATGAGGAGTATTAGAGTATAGACGATAGAGACGTTGAGAGTGAGGAGCCATTAAATTAAAATTAAAAAAACGGATCTGATCCTATTAATGCGGAGGCGAGAAGAGATATATACGTAGTACTCATTACTCATTTACTCATACACTTAATAATAATACTCCGTATTATTATTAGATTATGGATTAAGCTATTTGTACTACAAAATTTATACTTCAAATTGTACATCTCAGGTGTGCTTCTTCATTTTATGTCAGTGTGATACTAGGATGAGAGTTCATACAGATACAAAATGTTAGTACAATTTTTTTTAATCATACTAGCATTTTGTACCAACCTTATTCATCGAACTGTTAGTGTATCTCTTTGATGTAGCTTTGGGATATAATTCTTGGTGTAAGTGTAGCGTGATTGTTTGATTATAGCATGTTTTGTTTTTTTGTTTTGTAGAGATTCATCATCTTCTAGTCTTTAGTGTGGCTACTAGAAACTATGTTGAGTATGATCAAATAAATATTTATCTCAATTCTAATTTTAATTGTAAAAAAATATTTATCAAATAAATAAGGTCTTCTTCGAGTATTCAATAGGAGATGCGGGCTTGTTAGAATTTATTAGAGTCTAATACAAAGTACATTCTAACATAGTTGGATTCGACTCTTGACAACGATAGTATGAGACCTTCATGTTTAGCATAAGGTCCATATATGTTTCGGAGAAAGATTTAGATAGTTGTAGTTACAATTTTATTTACCCTCTCTCATTTAACTGACCAAGTCGGGTGTAAGAAAATCCTTCATCTTACTACCTTAGGATGGGATTAATCCCAAAATAATCAAATTTAAATATATATTTAGTATGATTAACTATCTGAGCCAGGTCTAAGAGGACCCTTCACCTTAGGATGGTGTTAGTCACAAAATAATCAAATTTAAATGCATGAACAATATGAAAATGTTTAATGTTGGATTTATTTAAGAACAATGGGAGTACAACGTTCAACAACAACATCATCATGAATAACAATAATACTCCCTCCGTCTTAGAATGATCGTCACATTTACTATTCTGACCTCTCAAATGCTTTTGTTTATTTATATATTTTTGTTGATCATTTGATTAAATAAAATATTATTGTCACCTCTTGTTTTGTAAACTTTTGATGTAGTTTTTAAATATGTAAATTTTATAGTATATTTTTTACACCATTTTAAAAATAAAATAATTTTAAAAAAGATAAATTTGTGTATGTTGCTCAAAGTGAGACGATAATTTAAGGATGTAGGGAGTAATAATAATAATAATAATAATAATAATAATAATAGTAAATGTGTTAATTGCTAAAAAAAGAGCTATTAAAAGTGAGTTTTGGAGCGGGGGGAAACAATAAACGTGTTGTTTGAGAATATTGTTCGAAGGTGGGGGTGTATGAAGGATTTGTGGCAAAGGGGAGGGATTTGATTAACTCAATTT